CCAGGGTCCCAGTTCAAGCAATTTTCCTACCTCAGCCTCCCAAGTCTCTGGATTACACCATGCCTAGCTAATTTTTATATTTTTTAGTAGAGATGGGGTTTCACCATGTTGGCCAGTCTGGTCTTGAACTCCTGACCTCGTGATCCACCCACCTCAGCCTCCCAAACTGCTGGGATTACAGGTGTAAGCCACTGCGCCTGGCCCATGATGAAATTTAAAAGTGTTTGCTTTGCATTAGAGGCTTGAGGCATGATGTGTTTTCAGCTACCATTCTGACTCCATTTCCAGCCAGGCCTATCTTGTGACTACCAAGCTTGTTTCTTCCCCAGCCTAAATCCTTTAGGCTACCTGCTTCAAGAGATTTCACTCACCTAGCTCAGACCAACACACCTCCTCCACCTACCTGCTCTCCAGGGATCAGACACCCATCACTACCCCTAACATACATAAACTCTGACACACTATATGCTAAACATCCAGATATGAGGCCATGCATGGTGCTCACTCCTGTAATCCTAGCACTTTGGGAGGCCAAGGAGGGTGGATCGCTTGAGCTCAGGAGTTTGAGACCAGTCTAGGCAACATGTCGAAACCCTGTCTCTACCAAAAATACCAAAAAAAAAAAAAAAAGGAAAAGGAAAAGAAAAAAACATTAGCCAGGTATGGTTGCCCGCACCTGTAGTCCCAGCTACTTGGCTTGGTGGGGAGGGGCTGAGATGGGAAGGTCACTTGAGCCCAGGAGGTTGAAGTTGCAGTGAGCCGAGATTGTGCAACTTCACTCTAGCCTGGGTGACAGAGTAAGACCCTATCTCAAAAAAATAAATAAATAAATAAAATTTAAAAATAAAAAATAAAGTCCAGATATGACTGCAGGGAAACACAGGCTCAGGGGAAGAAGTGTGTCCCAGTCTGCAATTCAAGGCCATCGACTGTACCTGTCCAAGGCTTTAGATCAGAGTCCAACAAAGAAATAGCACCAGCCAGGTGCACACACAGGCATACACACAGCCAGCCAGCAGTTGCCCAACTGCTCCAGCCCAGGGGAAGAACAGGAGACTGGCAAACAGTAATTAACCTCCTCCCAGATGCCAGTGTCTGTCTCTAAGTCCCCAGGGACTTCCAAGGAGATGCCGGAACTACTCAGATTTTTCACCTCCCCTATGCAGAGACTCTGAAGAATGCAAGGTGTGGAGCAGAATTTGATCCTAAATGTCAATACACAGCTCCTCCCAGAGGCACGCCCCACAAGGTGCTAGCTCAGGGCCTCATTCTCAGTTCCCTCTGCCCCGCGTTGCTTCAGTTTGGCAGCCCTAGCTGATCTTTAACAGACTCTTATTCCCTTCCTCTCAGCCTACAATGACTTCGATTTCCTCCCCATTCCTATATAGATACACCTCCTTTCCTCCTGGAAAATGCAGCCAGTGGCCTTTAGCTGATGCCCTCAAGCTGAGCAGAACCCAAAGAAGGCCTTAGGTGGCTCAGATCACACTTGTGAGTTTATATTCATTCATTCAACACAACCAAAGCCACATTCTGGGCACCAAGGAAATAAGGAGAGAGAGAGTCAATATCTGAAGAGAGAGACTCCTTCATCCTCAAAACTTTCATATGAAGTCAGCCTATCTCATGAGCCCTGGAGGCATGAAGAGGCCACCAAAGTGGGTTCAAAAGCCCTTTCCAACAGCTAGGTTCTGCGAATCTTAATTTTCCAGGATCTGAGGTTTTTTAATGAAAGACAGAAGCCCACAGGCCTGGGCACCCACCCACCTCAGACACCATGATAGTCTCCCAAATGCCACCACAGCATCCAATTCTATCAACAGTGTGATATAGCAGACATAGCTACAGTGTCCATTTTACAGATGAGGAAATGTGGCCTAAACAGAAAAAGGAACTTGTCTGAAGTCTGCCAGGTAGCAAGGCTGCCTGGATCTAAAATCCCAGCTCAGCTCCCCACAGCACAAGTTTTAAGAGGAGATGGGAGGTAATGGTCTGACCTGACTGCCTGAATGCAGTAGCAGAAAGGAGCCCTGTGGCTGTGCTGGTGGAACTGGCTTCCATCAGATGGACATGGCATGGTGAGGCCTGTCTTTTCAAGGGCTGGTGCTGCTGCTTGCTCCATGCCGACCTCAGGGCCTCTTAGAGGCAGCAAAGAGGGCAGTTTTAATGGCATCTAGTACCCGGGCTTTGGGGGAGGAACTCTGTGGTTCTGGTGTTAACAGTGGCACCAGAGACCTCTGTAATCTGCCACCTCCGCCATCTAGCCAACCCAAGGCTAGTGCTAGCAGGTGGAGTTTGCAGGGCGTCTCTCCCTGGGCTCTTCTGCTGAGCCTCTCCCCACTGGACACTCAACCTCAGTCTTGGCTGCCACGGCTAGTTTGGTCTGAGGGGGAGGGCCCCGCCCTGATCAACTGAGGGGAGGCCATTCCTAGTAGAATCGCTAGTTGGACACCGTTCCCAGTGGGGGATGGAAATGTCAAAGGCAACTCGATCCGGCTCATCTCCCTCTCCTGCTCGGAGATCCGCGGGATCGAGTGACTGCCTACACAGCCTGGAATACTATACATCCCCCCCTCAGCACCCCGCCCGAAGGCTGTACTGTCCGAAGGGACCGGCCGAGGTCAAGGGACCTGTCGCCTGGAGGGAATCGCCGCCGTGGGATGGGCCCAGGTGTCCAGGCTCGCTCCACCCATTCATCGGTGGGAACCACAGTTCAGAAATCGTGCTCCCTCAGTAGCTCCCCGTCCCCCACGGCCCTCCCACTGGGCTCACCCACTGCAGCTACAGCCCGGCAGAAGTAGGGGGTGAAGGAGCTTCCCGCCGATCCCCTCCGCTTGAGCCAGAGTGGAGCTGCCACCGCGCCGCGCGGGGTGCTGCCTGGCAGGACACAGCTGGCCCCGCCCTGGGGCTTCTCGGTCACGCCCCTGTCATCCAGTCTCGCCTCGAGCCTCAGAGTCCAGCCCAGCCCCTGGCGTTCGACCTCTCCTCCCAGGTTATCACGCGGACCTGAGGCCCTGCCCGTCAGCCCCACCTTCCTCTCACTGCTCTGTGCTCTGCCCCTGGCGTTTCAGGCTTGCTCAGTCCGGCGCCCCCCTGTTCCGCCTCCCGCCGGTCGGCCAGCGCCAGCTGGGCTACTGATTGCCCGCAAGCGGGCGGGGCTCAGCCCCAGGCCTGCTGGGACATGTAGTTCCACAGAAAGGAGCAGCTGCGGAAAGTTGGGGTTCTTGTGCCCCTAGGCTAGGTTTGGAATGAGGATGAGAGGGAGAGAGCCTCAGGGTAAAGGAGCAGGGCTGGCCTTTGGAATTCCTTCCTTCCCACTTTGGTCAAGGTATACCGATATAACGTTATACCGTCTTATGGGTGTAACGCTCTCACAAGCCCTCAGTTTCCCCATATGGAAAAGGGGTGGCGGAATTGTGGGAGTATCTCAGCGCCCAATGCAGGGTGTTTCCAATCAAGAGCCTCACGAAGGAAGCTATAGTTCCAACCAGCCGGAAATCCAAGTCGTCGGTTCCCACTGGACCAAACCAGAGGTGTCCGAGGTCAGAGACTGAGAAGACCGGTTTCTGCTTGGTGTTTTACAACGTAGCCCGTCTCCCTGACCGCCACCCCCAGACTAGTTATTTATAGGGTCCAGTCCCTCCTCCTAGTTACAGCCTTTAGTTAGAAATGCCCAAGCTGCGGGAAAGTGGGCGTGCCCCGCCATGCCCCCGTTTCCGGGGAGTGTGCAAGACTTTGAGGTTTCATTTCTATTTTATTTTATTTATATATTTATTTATTTTTGAGTTTCCCTCTTGTTGCCTAGGCTGGAGTACAATGGCGCGATGTAGGCTCACTACAACCTCTGCTTCCCAGGTTCAAGCAATTCTCCTGCCTCAACTTTCCAAGTAGCTGGGATTACAGGCATGCGCCAACACGCCCGGCTAATTTTGTATTTTTAGTAGAGATGGGGTTTCACCATGTTGGTCAGGCTGTTCTCAAACTCCTGACCTCAGGTGATCCACTGCCTCGGTCTCCCAAAGTGCTGGGATTACAAGCGTGAGCCACCGCGCCTGGTCTTATCTTTTTTGAGAGAGGGTCTCTCTCTGTCGCCCAGGCTGGAGTGCAGTGGTGTGAACATGACTCACTGCAGCCTAGATCTCCTTGATTCAAGCTATCCTCCCACCTCGGCCTCCTGGGTAACTGGGACCACATGCCTGTGCCACCATGCCCTGCTAATTTTTAAGTTTTTTGTAGAGAAGAGGTCTCCTTATGTTGCCCCAGGCTGGTCTCGAATTCCTGGCTCAAGTGATCCTCCTGCCTTGGCTTCTTGAAGTGCTGGGATTACAGGTGTGAGCCACTACACCCAGTCGGTTTCATATTATTGATGCAGAAAGGAAAATACCAAAGATCCCAGAGACTCTAGAATGCCCCTCTTCTTGCTCCCTGAGGAGCAGAGAAACAGGGCTTTGTTTTGCACCTTGAAATTTCTTGGTCATGGGACCCTCCAAAATTATGTTTTGACCAGTTGGATTTGGGGTGGGGGGGCACACCCTTGTGCAGCAAGGGTGTCTGAGCACAGAGAGGCTTTTGGAGTGCTATGATGGGGACTCCTGGAAGCAGAGATCAAGAGCTTTGGGTGTAGGGATAGGGCTTTGAATGGAAGGAAGGATTCTGAGTCCTCTGATATGTGGGAGGGTATCTAAGTTTGAGGGCATACTGAAGAAATGTTAGCTGGAGGGTCTTCATGGGGTGGGAAATAGATGACTCCTGCCTGCATTGCAACATGGACCGATTTGTTTGGGCTCTGGGATGCAGGGGAGGAGGACAGCAGCTGGATATAGGGCAACTGTTCGGTATCAGGAGGGCACTCAGGGACGTACTGAGACGATGGGGTTGGAAAGGCTCAGGGAAGGGTGACTTTGAGAAAAATTGCATCTCAGTTGAAGGGGTTTGGTAGAGGCCTAAGTGACTGGCCCTTCACTTCCAGATCCTGCTGGGTAAGGACACAAGTGGCAGGCTTTGGGGGTGAAGAGTTTATTTATTGCTCTGCCCCCATGGCCCAGCAAGCCCAGGCTCTACCAGCAACGATAGTCAGGATAGGTCTCAGACACAAACTCAGGATGGATGACATAGTTGTTTCTCTGGGGACCACCAGTCTTCTTGAAGTGACTTGTGTCCCACCTGCAGGGAGAGATGGGTCAGCCCTTTTGGATCCTCATCTGTCAAAGTGAATATCTGACTCCAGTTCGTAATGCTAACCTAATCCCTACACTTTGCCTATAGCACTGACCTTGGGTTTCAATACTGACCTCCTGACCTTAGGTTCTACTGTTAAATGGCTGATACCCAATACTTCCTCCTTAACATTGACCTCTTACTCGTTACTTCAAGCTCTGAGCCCAATGACCTTGACTGTAAGCCCACTGCCAACCTGTAACCCTTCAATATAGGCTTCCTAGCCTTCTCCTAGGGTCCTTTGGCCTTACCACCTTTGACTGCTCCGAGGCACTAGCTCCCCCTGGTGGTATCTGCCTGTCAGTGCACCGAAGCGGAGCGTTCTCATTTCATTTACCCGCCATCCTCCCCCCGCCTCCCCCCACCCCGCCGCACCAAGACTCAAGATCTGTGTGCAAATGAGTGTGTGCGCACTAGACTTACCTAAGGTTCGGATATGGGCAGTATGACGGCAGGGGAGTTGTAACAGCACACTGCATTCCGGGCCGGTGCTCGTAGGGAGGTACACATCTGGAGGAGGAGGAAACCGTGGGCAGGGAGGGGTTGGGCATTTTGACTCGCATCCCCCAATTTAGACCAAGCCCCTGGACGGCGCTTCAGGTGTCCATCCCAAGGCCGCAAATCCTCCTCTCCTTCCCCACTCTTCAAGACCCCCACTGTAGCACAGGCTCGGGAAGCCCCCCTTGGAAGTCTTCCTCCCGGCAAGGCCTCATTTCTGCCGTTCAGGGAAGAACGCCGGACGCTGGGGAGGGTCGGGCTCTGGTCGTTGAGTGGGGCAGAGGGATGCAAGAGAGACGGAGGAAGCTGATGGGAGCAGGGTGGGCTGGGAAGATGGGAGGAGATGGCAACCGGAATGCACTTGGAGGGATCTGTTTGTAGGAGGTTAGTCCTTCCTCCAACTCTCTAAGGATGAGAACCAGGGCCCTTCCCCGCCACTGGACAGCAGTTTCTCCAGCACTAGGACGAGGCATCGTTTCCGAGCTTTCTAAAGGCTCATATACTTTCCTGCACCCCCATGCCCTTGAGAGGGATAAGACTCAGTCTCTCTCAATGAATCAGGCTCTATCGGCCTGGAAAGGAGCGGGGGTTCACTATGGACGCCCTCTGCACAGCTCTCTGGGCTACCGCTGACGAGGTTCTCCAAGGCTTGGCTGCCGCCGGGTGCAGGACAAATGCTGCGCTGCAGTCTGGGCTCCAGCTGTGCGCTCGGGCCTCAGTCTACTTAGCTGTAACACGCGAGGGTGCCTACCTCCGTAGGTGGTGCGGGATCCGAGGAGGCCAGAGCCATTTTGGTAAAGTGGTCACCATTTCCTGACTCGCAGCAGGACCCCCCACCCACTACGGACGGTGACGGGGGCCCAGCAAGACAGGACATTTTTCTGAGGACGCAGGGCGCTCCACAGGCTAGAACCTGTGTCTCTAGGGCCAGCTGTCCAGGGAAGGTGGCAGGGCCAAGGAGACGTGGGAAGAGGATGCGACTGATGTGCAGGGCTTCTTCCTCAAAAACCCTCTGGCGGGACCTCCAGAGCATATACAGAGGCTAGGATGACCTTAAGCCCAGTTTGAGAGAGACAGGGGTCGGGGACTTGGAGTAAACTCCGTTCTGGTTCTCCCGCCTCAGTTGTTAGCTCAGGCCTTGGAGCCCGAAGGCGGGACACGGCGGGGCCCCGAGAGCTTGCAGCGCGGGGGTAGAGCAGGCTGGGGGCCCGCCCAAAGGACGCCGGGCTGGAAGTGGGGCGGGGCTCTGGGGCGGGGCTTGTGTGGGGTGGAGCCCGGCTGAGGCGGGCCGAGCCCTGCGAACCTTACAGTCGGTTGTTCCCGGCACCAAGGCCGCAGGCGGCGGTCAGTGCAGGGCGTCCCGCTGGCGTAGTAGTCCAACCCGCGCAGACAGTAGTGGCGGCCAGAGCAAGCACTTTCGTAACCTTGGAAGGGCAGGCGGCCGGGCAGCGGGTCCACGCACCCGCATCGGGGCGCGGTCCGCGGCAGCTGCTGGTTCCGCGATAGTGAGTTCAGCATGTTCACCACAACTTCGCGCTCTGCGCCCGCGGGTCCCAGGTGCAGGAGACCCAAAGACAGATGCACAAGGATGGGAAGAGGCCGCGTCACAGAGCGAGGCGGAGACAAAAGCCGAACGGATAAATGCAGGGTTCCGCCCTCTCCAGGACCCTTGGCCTCCTCTGCGTCCTCAGGTCCCCATCGCGCCCTCCTCCCGGCCTTCTCCTACCCTCTCCACCTGTTCTTTCCACCGCCCCACTACCACTCTTTACCATAGGCATTGAGCCGCTCCGGCTTAGAAGGGCATTCCAAGGGCATTCCTCGAACTGCTGTCTCCATCCCGGCCTCCTAGAAGTGGCACACATGCTACCTCAAGCTCTGACCTGGCAGAGCTGCTCCCTTTTTGGGATCCTCCCAGAACACCCAGACCTATGGCCAGGCCGCGCCGTCCCCCGCCCCTCAGCAGCTCCCCACCTCTCTCCAGGGCTCTGAGTGTTTGCCGCTGTCGTCTGGCAACGCGTTTACGCCGCCTCCAGGAGCGGGTGGAATGGGGAAGGCTGAAGGTGGATGGGGTTTGGCCCTGGGGCCTGTGACAACCCTGTTTCAGAGTTTGCCTTTGATTTTACCCCTCTTTGTCTAGCTGACTGTTTAGCTGTGTCGGGGTGTCTCTCGAATAGGGGGTTTTCAATATTGCTTGCCCATTCCATGCAGAACTTGTGAAAGATTCTAATTCTTGAGGAAGTTCTAATTCAAAAGGGTTCTGTCAACCCAAGGTCAGCCATCAGCCTGCAGTTAAGAGCCCCAGCCCTGGTCTTGGGTCCTCTCTGGTACCCTTGAGCCTGGGGCTGTGGCTGGACCTTCTCATGTGTCCTTGGAAGACTCTCCTGTATCTGCACTGCTACTGAGTAACCTTGGTCTTCCTCTTTCCATCTGTGCTCACATCACAAAGGAGGGGAAGATGGAGCAGGGAGATTGAGTGTATCACTGACTCCTTGGCTAGCCCCAGTATCACAGGGACCAGACTGTATGGGGAGGGGCCAGCTGGCAAGCTTCAGAAAGGTAGCATATCAAGAAGTGCACACCAGCCATGTCCCTGTAAAGCCCAGCCAGGGATTGGGGCAGAGGGCACCCAATTCCCAGAGACTGAAGAGCCAGGGGCCCAGCACAGCCCCACTCTTGGGTTCCTTTTTCAACTAAAAAGAAATACAAACCTGGCCAGGCACGGTGGCTGATGCCAGTAATCCCAGCACTTTAGGAGACTGAGGCAGACAGATCACTTGAGGCCAGGAGTCCAAGACCAGCCTGGCCAACATGGCAAGATCCCCATCTCTACTGAAAACACAAAAATTAGCCAGGTGTGGTGGCACACACCTGTAATCCCAGCTACTAAGGAGGCTGAGGTAGCAGAATTGCTTGAACCTGGGAGGGAGAGGTTGCAGTCAGCTGAGACTGTGCCATTGTGCTCCAGCCTGTGTGATAGAATGAGACTCCATCTAAAATATATATACAAACTCTAGTTTCACAGATGGGGAAAGCAATGAGGACCTAATGGTGAAATATCAGTCACTGTGGTTTGGGAAGTGGTGGGATATGCCTGTCCCAGTCCCCAGGCATCTGTGCTGGGTGCAATAGATACCTTAGGCAGCCGAGGAAGGTAGGTGGTATATTTGTTGCAGCAGCTGCTGTTGTAAGGTTCCATCCTCCATGTGTTGTACCGGTCACTGCTCAGGTAGTTTGTTGTGCATTTGTCTGCTGGATTTTAGGGGTGGAGATGTCAAATAGTGTTACTTCTTACTCCAGGATCTGGGATCCCCCACATGTTTCTCTTCTGATCCCCAGTACAAAGCTGAGCCTCACAGACTGTCCTCAGGCCAGGCCCTAAGCCCAGCGGGCCTACATGTGTCTTAAACACTGAGATGCAGCCCATGTCCCACGTAAGGCAGCCTTCTGAGTTTAGTCTGAATCCACTGTGCCACTTTTCATCCTGCCACTACCCTTTTTGAATCAGCCTACCTGGACAAGGGGCCTCTTCCCAATTCCTCCCTCTCTCTCATCTTCTACTCTAGGCTCCAAGGTTTGCCTATTCTACCTCCTTCAAAATCACTTGAATCTGGCCAGGTGCGGTGGCTCATGCCTATAATCTCAGCATTTTGGGAGGCTGGGGCAGGCGGATCACTTGAGTTCAGGAGCTGAAGACCAGCCTGGCCAACATAGCAAAATCCTGTCCCTACTAAAAATACAAAAATTAGTTGGGCATGGTGGCATGCACCTGTAAACCCAGCTACTCAGGGGACTGAGGCACGAGAATCGCTCGAACCAAGGAGGCGGAGGTTTCAGTGAGCCGAGGTCATGCCACTGCACTCCAGCCTGGGTGACAGATCAAGACTCAGTCTAAATAAATAAATAGATCACTTGAATCTACTCCCTCTTCCAGTACCCCATGATCTCACTTCCTTATCTTCGCAGCGTCTTAACCAGGAGACATATAATGTCTTGGTTAATAGATACCTGTCTCTGCAGATAGACTGCTTGTGTTCAAATTTCAGTTTTGCCAATTATTATCTGTGTGACCTTGACTGAGTTAATTTTGCTATGTCTCAGTTTCTCCAACTTTAAAATGGGGATAATAGTACTACTTACTTCACAGGGTTGCTGTGAGATTTAAATCAGTTAGTATATGTAAGACATTTAGAATGAGGCTTGGCACCTAAAAAGCTGTTAGGATTATTCTACTGTTCTCCTTGCCTCATCTTTGAAATTCTATAATGCAACCTTGACATAGTAGCTGTGGTACTTTTCACAAATGAAAATTTAGCAAAGGCACTCTCCTACTTAAAACCCTGTAGAGTTTGCCCCCCTCAGCCCCCAGTCACCTAAGCCTGTCCTACAAGGCCCTCCATGATCCAACAATCTGAAAGAACACATGTGTGAGACAGTGTGGAAGAAGCCCTAGCGGAAGAGGAGCTGTGTGAGGGGAGGGGTGGAGTGCTGGGATTTGGAGTTCAGGGATGGTAGTTTGGACATACTGAGACTGAGGTATTTGGGGACATCCAGGTCAAGATGCCTATAAGCATATGAAGGAGAGTGGAATTTGGGTGAGAGGACAAATCTGGAAATTAGGACTTAAAGCTGTCAGTAATTAAAGCCTTGTGCTAACTCAAATGGCCTTGGAGGAGGTGCAAGGGGAGGGTGCAGGATAATACCCTGAGGAACCCCATGTTTCCACAGTGGATGCACAGGAAAGGTAGGCATCAGAGCAGCTGAGGAGAAAGTTGTTTCTAGAAGTAGAGAGTGGTCATACTGTGCGTGCTGGAGGATTAACATACAAAAAAAAAAAAAAAAGAAAAGAAAGTAGAGAGTGATCAGAAGAGTGCAAGTCATTGGTCTAGGAGGGTAAAGATCTCGAAAGGTAAAGACTGCAGTCCTGTGGATTTGCTAATCAAAGCCACTCAAGAGCAATTTACTGTTTCATTGTAGGAGATGCACACCCCCAACTTCCATTGGGAATTCTCAATCATTCAACAAAGACTTACGAAACCAGGTGCTGTGCTCGATGGAGGGGCACAGCTGTGAAAAAGACCAGACTTGGCTCTTTTCAAACATACTGTACAGATCATAGACGCCCAAGCAAATGAGAAGACAGTTTCTCATAAGGTGTAAGAAGGGGTGCGGAAATAGAGACAGTGAGTACAGATCATGTTTCAGAGAACCTTGGCTGTTGAGGAGAGGAGCAAGAGAGAATTTTTACTTGGGAAGAAACTAGAGAAGGTTCCAGGTTGAGGGAAAGAGTTGTGGTGGGGCAGAGGGATGCAGGAGAGATGAAGGGAGCTGATGGGAGCAGGGTGGCTGGGAAGATGGGAGGAGATGGCATCCGGAATGCACTTGGAGGGATCTGTTTGTGGGAGGTCAATCCTTTCTCCAACTCTCTAAGAATGAGACCCAGGGCCCTTCCAGCTCTTTTTTTTTCCCACAGACAAGAACCCCAAAAGGCAAGGCATAGGTCATCTCCTCCAGGACCAGGGTCAGGTCAGGTAGTTGGGAGTCGGGGGTGGTTAGGGGAGAAATCTATGTCATGGGTGGAGATAAAGTTGATATAGAATCAGGATGGAGGCGAGGACTGGTGGCTTAGGTCTGTAATCCCAGCACTTTGGGAGGCTGAAGCGGGCAGATCACCTGAGGTCAGAAGTTTGAGACCAGTCTGGCTAACATTGTGAAACCCTGTCTCTATTGAAAATACAAAAATTAGCCAGGTGTGGTGGCGGGTGCCTATAATCTCAGCTACTCAGGAGGCTGAGGCAGGAAAATCACTTGAACCCAGGAGGTGGAGGCCAAGATCGCGCCATTGCACGTCACACTGTGCAACAAGAGCGAAACTCTGTCTCAAAAAAAAAGAGGATGGAGTTCAGGATCCAGGTGATCAGGTTCAGGTTGGGGGTCATTTTAGGGGTCAGCAAAGGGCAAGACCTTACCTTCCTCTTGAGAAAGCCAGTACTTCTCAGGCAAATAGGGGTGGCCTGATATGGACCCCCTATAGGTGTAGTCCTGTAGGGCACATTTGGCCATCTTCTGCAGGGCTTCGGGATCCACATGGCGCTCCATGGTATGAGTCAGACCCTGTGCCAGGGGGGAGGGGAGAGGGGAGAAGTGGTCAGGGGCACAGAGACCCCAGCCCTGGGGTGTTGTTGGATCTAGAACCAGCCTCTCTTGAGAAGGTCAGCCCAGGTGGGTCTCCCAACCTCCCTCCCCATGTCAGAGGGATTCCCATGCCAGCCTTGGCTCCTCTGCACAGTTCTCTTGTCTAAGTTACCCTTTTCTCCTTTCTTTTCATCAAAGGCTGGGGCTTGGAGCCAAGCGGTGGCCTTAAGTCAGAGTAGTTTTCTGACTTTCTCATTTCTGCCATTTCCTGTCTGGTAGCTCATAAAGCTCAGAGCTACATGTTCCTTTCCTTTTTCTCCTAGACTGTGTGCTGCCTGGTAGCAGGGCCGGGTTTCCACCAACAGTGCAACAGGCCCTGGCACAATCTGGAGTCTCAGAAAAGGGGGCTACCCTGGAGCTGGCTGCCTTATGTAAGTGTCTTGGACAGGGAAGGCTCTCTGGGAATCTAGCATCTTGAAGAAAATGAAGGACAGTGCTGGAGGGGCACCTATTTTAAAATGTAATTCCTGGTTGGGCTCGGTGGCTCATGCCTATAGTCCCAGCACTTTGGGAGGCCGAGGCAGGCAGATCACGAGGTCAAGAGATGGAGATCATCCTGGCCAACATGGTGAAACCCTGTCTTTACTAAAAATACAAAAATTAGCTGGGTGTGGTGGCACGTGCTTGTAGTCCCAGCTACTCGGGAGGCTGAGGCAAGGGAATCGCTTGAACCCGGGAGGTAGCAGAGGCTTCAGTGAGCCAAGATTGCGCCATAGCACTCTAGCCTGGTGCTAGAGCGAGATTCTGTCTCAGAAAAAAATATATAATTCCCTGACTCCAACCTCACCCTGATTCTGCTGTGGCTCTGACCCTCGATTTGGCCTGGTCCTCATCCTACCTTGACAGTTTTTCTGTTCTTGGTCCAGGCCCTGGGCCCCTCTACTTTTTGGAGTTCACCTTAACTTATCCTATCACTTCTCGTCTGATTAGATCTGTGAAGCCTGGATCAGGGCCTCCTTTCCAGGCCCCTTTCTCCTCAGCTGAGGGCTGAATGCCAAGGTAGTTGTGGACCCACAGGTATCTGCAGGCAGCTGGTCTGAAAAGGCAGCTGGGTCACAGGGGTGGGACACTCAGCAAAGTCAGATAGGGCTTCTTCCTCATAACAGGCAATGAGGTGCTGGGACAGTGATGCTATCACCCACACTTGCTCCTTATGATTTTTTTTTTTTTTTTTTTGAGACAATGTCTCACTCTGCCATCCAGGCTGGAGTACAGTGGTGCCACCATGGGTGCAGTCTTAACCTCCCAGGCTCAAGTGATCCTCCCGCCTCAGCCTCCCAGGCATGTGCACCACACCTGGCTAATTTTTGTATTTTTTGTAGTGATGGAGTTTCACCATATTGCCTAGTCTGATCTTGAACTCCTGGACTCAAGTGATCCTACCATGTTGGCTTCCCAAAGTGCTAGGGTTATAGTCATGAGCCGTCACACCTGGATCTTCTCTTGGCCAAGGCTGAGACCTGGTTGCTCCCAGTGCTCCAATCATCCTGAAAACCTCTCTCTCGGGGGCTTCTGGGAGCAGCTGTGTCCAGCTGACATTGTTCTGTGGGCAGAGCCTGCACAGTCACACTTCTATGTGGATGGAGGGCAGAATATGGGAGATGGGTGGATAGGTCCCATCACTCAGCATTTCTCTGAGCTTTATACACACACAACCACACACACACCCCTGTGCACCCAGATACACTCATAGATGCACGTATAGATGTATATTCATATATCCACTTACACACTAAACACTCAGACACACAAACACAAAACAGTCATTTAGAATAATTCATAGATATCATCAGTTTTTCTGTGAGATGTTTTCCTAAGGTGTGTGCCATCTCTGCTCCTATTGATAAGTAGGAGATTATAAAAACTTGTAGAAGGCTCTGAGCTGTGTGTGGGCTTTGTACACCATCAGCATCATTGTCCAAACATGTCTTTGGACAATGTTTTGCAAACTCTAATGTCAATATGTGTAGGCCTTTCCTCTTGGCTGATGAGATTCTTTAGAAAAGACTCCTTCAACCTTTGGCCTGAGGGTAATGACTTAGCTGCCAGTGTTCTGAGAATCCAGTGCTGACGATTGCACTGGGGATTTTAGTGTTCAGTATATGGAGGTTTACTTGGTTTCAAAATGATACCCTGTCCTCAATTGGTATCCCTAGTCTGGAGGTCCTCGCCAAAAATTAGCCTTCTGACTTTTGCAGAGGCAGAGGTGGGCAGTTACCCTGTGGCATGAAATAGAAGGGGTGACTAGTGGGTTTAACTTCTTTTTTTTTTTTTTTTGCGGTGTTTTTTTGAGATGGAGTTTTGCTCTTGTCACCCAGGCTGGAGTGCAATGGTGCAATCTTGGCTCACTACAACTTCCGCCTCCTGGGGTTCAAGGGATTCTCCTGCCTCAGCCTCTCAAGTGGCTGGGATTACAGGTGCCCTCCACCATGTCCAGCTAATTTTTTTTTGTATTTTTAGTAGAGATGGGGTTTCGTCATGTTGGCCAGGTTGGTCTCGAACTACTGACCTCAGGTGATCCACCCGTTTTGGCCTCCTAAAATGTTGGGATTACAGGTGTAAGCCACCTGGCCTGGCCTAACTGCCTTTTAAACAGCTTTCAAATAATCTTTATATTTTGCCTTGGTCCTGTCCCATCCTCAGTTCCAGAGAAGCCTAGGATTATCAGTTCCTGAGCCTTTCAGAAATTCTGCAGTTTTATGTTGAATTATGGCTTGGCTTTCCGATTGCTGGCTTTAGATTCAGTTTTCTCAGATCTGCTAAGTCAATTGCTACTTATTTATCATCTTTTCCAGCTTCCAAAATTGTGTTGCCATTGCCTCTTCCTTCTCACCATCCTTATGAGTTTATCTCTTAAATATTCATTTACTGTAGTTTTAGGTTTTAGGAGGGAGTCAAAACGTGTTCAGTTTTAACCAAGATAATTATAATTCTTCATATATTCTGTATATTAGTCCTTTACTATTGGCACCTGTACATGTTGCAAATATCTTTTCTGTTTGTGGCTTCTGTCTTTACATTTCTTTTCTTTTCTTTTTTTTTTTTTTTTTTTGAAACAGGGTCTCACTCTGTTGCCCAGGCTGGAGTGCAGTGGCACAATTGCAGTTCACTGCAGCCTTGATCTCCTGGGCTAAAGCTATCCTCCTGCCACAGACTACTGAGTAGCTGGGACTACAGGTGCACACCATCACACCCAGCTAATTTTTTAAAAAAATTTGTTTGTAGAGACGATATCTCCCTGTGTTGCCCAGGGTAATATTGAATTCCTGAGCTCAAGTGATCCTCCTACCTTAGACTCCCAAAGTACTTGGATTATAGGTGTGAGCCATTCCACCTGGCTTTTACTTTTCTTTATAGTGTCTTGATGAACAGAACTTAATTTTAATATACTTTACTTCTTCTTTTGTGATCAGTGCTTTTTGTGAATTATTTAAGAAATCCATCCATACTCTTGGATGGAGATAATGTTCTCTATTTCCTTATAAACGCAAAATAGTTTTACTTTCCATATTTAATCTGTCAGGAGCTTGGACAACTCATCTTCTTCAGGTGTGTTTTAGCTATTTCTTGAACTTTTGCCCTTCTTTATAAATTTTAAAAACAGTTTGTTGAATTTTTCAAAAAATTCTGTTGGGATTTTAATTAGTAGCTGGGACTACAGGCACACGCCACCACACCCTACCAAGTTTTGTATTTTTTGTAGAGATGAGCCTTCACCATACTGCCCACGCTGATCTTGAATTCCTGAGTTCAAGCAATCTGCCTGCCTCGACCTCTTAAAGTGCTGGGAACTGTGCCCAGCTGCACTTAATCTTTATGATAGTAACTCTCCCCATTTGAGAGCATGTTATATCTCTCCATTTATTTAAGTATTTTTTAAAAAGTATTCAGTAAAGTTGGCTGGGTGCAGTGGCTCACACCTGTAATCCCAGCACTCTGAGAGGCCAAGGCGAGTGGATCCTGAGGTCAGGAGTTCAAGACCAGCCTGGCCAACATGGTAAAACACTGTCTTTACTAAAAATGCAAAAATTAGCCAGGGGGTGGTAGCAGGCGCCTGGAATTCCAGCTACTTGGGAGGCTGAGGTATGAGAATCACTTGAACGGGGGAGGCAGAGGTTGCAGTGAGCCGAGATCATAGCATTGCACTCCAGCCTTGGCGACAGAGCGAGACTCTATCTCAAAAAAGAAAAAAGTATTCAATGAAGTTTTATAATATTATCCATACAGTTTTACACACATCATTAATTTCTAATTATCTTTATTTTTTGTTGCTAGAATAATGTATATTTAAAAAATTATGCTTCCTAAATATTTATGTGAAAAAATGTGACTGACTTTTAATATTTATCCAATTATTATAATAATGTGTGTAGATTCTTTTTTTAAAAGGACTAGTCCCACACAGTAGTGAGAAAGAAAGAGTGGAACATGAAGTTTGATCTCAGCCAGGCATGGTGGCTCATGCCTGTAATTCCAGCACTTTGGGAGGCCAAGGCAGGTGGATCACCTGAGGTCAAGAGTTTGAGACCAACCTGACCAACATGGAGAAACCCTGTCTCTACTAAAAATACAAAAATTGGCTGGGTGTGGTGTCACGTGCCTGTAATCGCAGCTACTCAGGAGGCTAAGGCAGGAGAATTGCTTGGAACTGGGAGGGCGAGATTGTGGTGAGTCGATAGCACCATGGCACTCCAGCCTGGGCAACAAGAGCGAGACTCCATCTTAAAGAACAAAAACAAGAACAAAAAGTAGTTTGATCTGTAACTGGCTGTGAACAATCAATTGAGATAACTCACTATCTTAAACCAGTCAGTTTATCGATTCTATATGTGCAGTTGTATTTTCTGCAAATAATGACAATTTTGTTTTTTCTTTTCCTATCCTTATATCTTTTCACTTTTTCTTTTTGTGGAGTCCTC